CTGAGTACTATTCCATATAGATAGACACTACTCATCTTCTTTATCCGTTCATCTACCGATGGACATCTGAGCTGTTTCCATAGTTGGGCTATTGCAGATAATGCTGCTATAAACATCAAGGTGGATGCATCCCTTTTAAGCAGAGGCAGGTTTGCATAGATAAGCCTGGGCCTGGCATGACCTTGTCACTCAAAAATCTGCCTTCCCCGTGTGCCTTCCACCCGGGGAAGCATCCAGGACTCTCTGTCCTCATCACTCTCCTTGTGACTGGCACCTGATTGCTTTGTCCCAGTCCTAAGCATTGTAAGGACAAGGTCAACCTTTAAGCTCACTAGGTGTAGCATCTGGACATGCACAGGCTTTCAGGAAATTCATGTTGGGAGTTGAGCATCTCATCAGATGTGGCTGAATGATTGCCGTCTCTAGCCCTGGAGGTGGCACTGGTGGTAGTAGGAAGTTAGTGCAGGGTCATCTGTGGTGTGTGTGTGTGAGGGGGGGTGGATATGGTGTCTATGTGTGGATCGTGGGTCAGGTGTATTGCATGTTGGATGTGTTCTGGGTACATGCCACGAGGATCCCATGTGTCTGATGGCTATTATGTGTTGGTGTGTAGGTATTATGTGTGTATAATAGGTGTTTGTGCTTGTGTCTGAGGGTGCACTGGGTGTTATGAGCGTAACATGAATGTGGAGTGTTTTGAGTGTGTGTCATGTCTGCTGTGTGCACATGGACCATTTGGGTCATTTGTTATATAGCATTAGATACATAACACACACACTACTAGTCCACACATTCTGTATTTTGAGGAGCCAATGAACCCCACTGCTTGGGCAATGGAGATGACCGCTCTTTGAACCATTTGTATATTTATGAACACGGTTGTGTGGCACTTTGTCCTGCAGAGCTGGCATCTTCCTGCCCAATGTGAAATTTTAACAACAAAATCTGGCCTATATTTTTAAAAATGCATGTATCGTGTGAGCAGGCTCTAACCCCATATTGGGCACTTCCTATCTCTGTTGATCGTGAAAACCACCTTATGGGGCAGGCTATCCTTTACTCCTGGATGCATAATGAGGACACCATGGAGAAATCCAGCAAACCAGCGGGCACAAGGTCATGTAGTCCCCCTGGGAGCTAGTGATCTCAGGCCTGATTCCAACCTCTGGTCTCTGTACCAGTGGTTCTTGAAGAGGTGTTGGCATCAGAATTCTCTGGAAGGTGTGGACACCGATTCCTGAGCCTCGTCCCTACAGTTTCTGGTTCAGTGTGTCTGGGGTGAGACCCAAGACTTTGCTTTCAGACTAAGTGATGCTGAAGCTGATCACCTGAGGGCCACATGTATAGAACACTCCTCTGGACACACTCTCTCTACTCACATAGAAAGAGGAAAAGAGACAGTTGGGATCCAAGCCATTGGTTTTGGAATCCTGCAGATTCCTGCAATATCTGCAAATTGGACTAAGTACAATCACCAGCAAAATCAATATGGAGAATTTTTTTTAAAAGATTATGCTCATTTGAGAGAGAGTAAGAGTGAGGGAGAGAATCTGAAGCAGACTTTGTGCTGAGCACAGAGCCCAATGTGGAGCTCCATTCTGGGACCCTGACATCATGACCTGAGCTGAAACCAAGAGTCAGACATTCAACCAACTGAGCCACCCAGGTGTCCCAACATTGAGTTATAAAACATTTTATTTTATTATGTGTAATTGTTATGGCCATGTAGTTGACATGTGACATCACACTAGTTTCAGGTGTGCAACAGCATGTCTCAACAATCCTGTACATTACTCAGTGCTCACCATGATAAGCGTGGTCGCCGTCTGTCACCACACCTCATGACAGTGTTATCGGCTGTATTCCCTATGCTGTGCTTTTCATCCCTGTGACTTATTTATTTTTTAACTGGAAGTATGTACATCTTCATCCCCTTTACCTATTTCACCTGTTTGCTGAGCCCTTTCCTCTGACAACTGCCAGTTTCTGTTCTGTATTTGTGAGACATTTTTTTTTGTTTATTCATTTGTTCTTTAGATTCCCCACATATAAGTGAAACCATCTGTTATTTGTCTTCCTCTGTTTGACTCCATTCACTTAGGGTAATATCTGCTAGCTCCATCCATGTGGCTGCAGATATTTGGCAAGATTTCATTCATCCCTCTTTATGGCTGAGTAATATTCCAGTGCAGACATACACCACGTCTTCCTTATCCATCCATCCATCTAGCAGGGACACACTTGAGTTGCTTCCATTTCTTGGCTGCTATAAATAATGCTGCATTAAACAGAGGGGTGCATGTATCTCCTCAAATTAGTGTTTTCATTTTCTTTGGGTAAATACCCAGCAGTGGAATTATTGGATCATATGGTATTTGTTTTTAATTTTTTTGGGGGGGTACCTCCATGCTGTAGAACTGGTATTTTAAATGTGAGCTCATCTTCCTCATTGACTAACTGGGTATTTGCTGATAATGAATCACTTGATCTTCAAAAGGAACAGTCAGCTTTCCACCAATAAGCTGTGTTTGCATCAACAAGTTCAGGGCTTTAGTTTATTCGTCCTGAGTGGTAGGATGGGAGGGGTGCATTTTCCCGGGAGAAAACAGTATTTTGCATGGTGTTCTCCATGCACGAAGTATTTTTTCTTCTTGATATTAATTCCCAAGCCATTCCACTGCCGAGGGTCAGAAGTGCAGGCTGCAGGGTCAGTGCTGTTCTTCTGTATGGCGAGCCGGGGCCAGTACCACCCGCTGCAGAGATGTTTCACGGAACGTGTGAAATAAGTTTGGAACCCCTCCCACCCTGGGCAGTGTTTGGTGTGCAGCAGGCTGGAGTGTGCACGTGTGCTGTCCTTGTCCCCTCTCTGTTCCTTACTCTGCAACATCCTCACCCAGTCAGGGACCAGGGAGGGTCAGGAATGATTGACACTGGCAGCCACAAGCAGGAGTCAGGTGGCTTTGCTGGCTCTGCAGTATCGTCAGGATGGAGGCTGAGCATGAGTTGGGGAAGAGGGGGAGAGACAGCTGTCCCGGTGTTGAAAGTGATAATGAAGTCAAGGGCAGAGTGGCTTTATTTGCTGGCCCTCTGTCCAGCTCTTGCTGGGAGTACCTTGACACTGAAACTGAGCAGTGGGTTTCTGACCTTGACTGGCCCAGCTGCACACCTTGAGGCCTCTGCCGTGACGGAGAGAGGTTTGCAGCACATTTTGTGCACCAGGCATCCCTGGGCGCGTCAGCTTGAAATACTGTCTTGCAGGATTTATAGAGGCTACGTTCTAGGATCTGTTGCATTTTAATTTGGTAAGCGGAATTCTGCATCTTCAGAAACGTTTCCCTGCCTGGTACCCTTGCCAGAGCTGAGATGCAGAGTTAAGGCCCTGCTCAGCTCTTGTTCCCTTATTCTGGCTTGGCATGACTGCACTGGCTACAGTGAGGTTGGGCTCTGAACCCCAGTGATGCTGGTCTGGTCATTGAGACGTCAGGGGAGCAAATGGAAGAGAGAGTTTGAGAGGAGACCCAGGTGCCAGCCAAGAGACACTGGATCTCCTCTTAGCTTCCCTCCTCTCTCTCACATTCTCCCCTTCCCCAAGATCATGCCAGCTGCCTCCCAGTGAGAACCTGCTGGTTTCCCAAGAACCTGCTCATGGCAAGTAATTACCTCCTGTCCCGTGGGGACTCCTCCTAGGTAGCTTGTATCACCCCATTACACATGGTAGCAAACTGAGGCTTGGAGAAAGTGCAGACACCACAAGAACATTCTAGATGAGGAAAATGGGTCCTGATGAGAGCGTCTCTGATCCTTTTCCCTATCTGTATTGTAGGGCAGTAACTTTTATCACAGAATTCTTCTTGGAGAAAATCAGGTAACTTACAGAAAATACTTTACGCAGCACCAAGGATATAGTAGCTGCTGCATAAAAGTCAGTTTCTTTCCCTTTCTCCACATCATTGATGTGTGGATGATTTCATATCCTCAGAAAATTCAGCCTGCCTTGAGTCTTTCTTCCTCTTGCTTCATTTCTCTCTCTCTCTCTCTCTTTTAAAGATTTATTTATTTATTCATCACACACACACACACACACACACACACACACAGAAGCAGAGATGTAGGCAGAGGGAGAAGCAGACTCCTTGCAGGAGCCCAATGTGGGACTCAATCCCAGATCCTGGGATCACGACCTGAGCCAAAGGCAGGGACCCAACCGCTGAGCCAGCCAGGCATTTCTCATCCTTGGACTCGTTTAATTTTGCTCTCTCCGATCTTCCCCAGCCAGCCCTCTTGTTATTGGCCCTAAGATCTCCTAGCTTGGAAAATTAGCATCCTGTCAAGTTGGGTTCAACATCTGCTTGGCAACGGCACCCACTCCCTCTGCTTCCCGTGCTTGGTAGAAAGCACATCTGGCCCTGCCACCCCAGGCACCTTCGCACTTTAGAGATGGTATTTATACTAACTGTGATAAAGTCATTTTCAATTACTGTTATTAATCATTATGCGTGTCAGGAACTGTGCAAAGTGCTCTGTGTGGTAGAATCATTTAATCTGTCTGTCACCTATCAGTTTTGTGCTATTATCAGGGCTCAGGTTATAGAGGAGAAGTTAAGTGACTTGCTCAAAGTCCCCCAGGTAGAAGGTGGAAGAGCAGGGATTCTTGCTCCATTGACCATGGAACATGTGCTCACAGCTGGGCGGCTGTTGCCTACCTGGCACTGACAGGTGAGGAAGGGCAGTAGACTAGCCCCGCTTTAGGATGAGGATACTCGGGTCCAAGTCTGGTCCTTCCAGGACTGAGCTGAGTGACATTAAGTGTGTCTTCCTGTCTCTGTGTCTTTTCCTATCAAAGGAACCTCTGAGCGCTGACATCTAGTGGACCCCCCATGGTCCCATTGGTTGGGTACCTTGGGTTCCCCTCATGGAAGCCCTGGCTCTCTGTTTGACTGATGTAGATCTCAACCTGTTGCTTTCTCTCTTGTTTTTTCAGGTAATGAACCAAAAAGATCATGTCTGAAGTACAAGGAACGGTTGAGTTTTCTGTAGAGCTACATAAATTTTATAATGTGGATCTCTTTCAGAGAGGGTAAGTATGCATCACTGCATCTATTTGCGTGTGTCTGCATATGCAGTTGACCCTTGAACAACATGGGTTTGAATAGGGCAGGTCCACTTGTACATGATTTTTAAATATGGTGTGGTGCTGTGGATGTCATTTTTGTGCCTTATGATTTTCTTAATAACATTTGCTTTCCTCTAGCTTACTTTAGTGTAAGAATACAGTGTCTGATACCTACAACATACAAAATATGTGTATTTGACTGTGTTATCAGTAAGGCTTCTGGTCAACAGTAGGCAATTAGTAGTTGAGTTTTTGGAGAATCAGAAGTCCTACATGATTTTCGTCTATATGGATGTGGGTGGGTGCCTTGAACCCCATCATTGTTCAAGGGTCCTCTGTGTGAGTGTGTGTGTGTCTGTGTGTGTGTGTATTTCTTCTGGTAGAAAGTAGAAGTAGAAAAGTCAGATTATAGGGCATTTTGGATTAATTAGAAAAGGATTTTCATTATTTTTCCTGCCCACTTGTTTAGGACAGTTGAAAATCACCCATATACCCACAGACTTGAGAATGCTAACTTGTGCCCTTCCTCCTGCACTTCCAGCCACCTTCTCTCTTCTGTGTTGCCCTTCCCATTACATATGTCAGCCAGTCAGTTTTAAAGGGAAAGGAATTTATCATAAATGAATCTTGCTTAGGTATCTCTGAGAAAAAGGTATCTGTATGATCAATATTTGTAGGAGCCATCTCCCGAAAACTGCAGATCTTAAAACCTGTGCCTTGATCTCTCAAGAACTGAAAATTTATGATGGCCTCTTTAAATGCAGAATTAAAATAGAGATGCTTGCAATGTTTGAGGATGCTCTGAATTTGATATTTTACACACATGATTTCAGTAGGTCTTCATGGTAGACTTAGGGTCACTCAGGGTCAATGGTTCCATCTATCGATTTGTTTTTGTTGCATAACAAACCGCCCTAAACCTTAGTGGCTTAAAACAACAGCTTTCCATTTAGCTCATGATTCTGAGGGCAGGCAGTTTGAAGCAGGCTCCAGATGGGCGGTTCTGCTGAGCAGGAGCAGGCCTGGCTGCTCTCATCCGCGCTTGTTTCCAGGTCTGGGCCCTCGGCTGGGAGGCAGCAGGTGAGCCTGGACTTGTTTATATGGCAGACAAGCCCTACAAGCAGGAATGGAAATACACACGATGTCCTGGTAGCTAGCCTCAGACTCATGCAGGGTGATTTCGTTGGTCTTCTGCTGGCCAAAGCCAAGTACAAAAGCATCTAGACTCAGGGTGGAGAAGTAGAGACAATCTTATGATGGAAATGGAAGGATCTATGCACACTTTTAGAGTCTGCTACTGGGGCTAGTCTTCAGTTTCAGAAGGAGAGTTCTGAAGTTAATGCTTCAAGTGCCTCTTGTATATTATGGCCCCTTGTTACATGAGGTGAAATTCAGAGGCTGGGTCATTTTGGTACGTGACCCAAATCAGGTGGTGAGGGGAAAAGGAGATGATTCTAACCAGCTGATTCCAGGGACAGGGGCACATGAGAGGTTGTAGCCGGGGTTCTGGAGATGAATTTTGAGGAAGCAAAGCTCTGTCCATCCTCTAGCAGCTCATTACCTTTGGTTTGCCCACCCCCCCCTCACTTAATCAGAAGTTGTGTAGCATAGTGAAGAGAGTCTGGGCTCGGGGCCAGAGCCTTCTGAGTCCTGGCTTGGTACCTGGAGCTTCCTGGAGCCCCTTTAGTACCTCGCTCCATTCTGGTCTTCAGGTTTGATAAGATCATGTGTCTATCATAGTGTTAGACACTTGTACTGATTATTTCCTAAGTCCTCATCACCAACTATAGAGTGAGTGATGGTATCTTTATTTTGTCGACAGGTAACTTGGGATGAGGGGGTGAAACAGTCTGCAGCTGTTACATAGAGTAAGAATCTGAGACTGAGTTGCCCTTTTTCTATTATATAGGCCTGGTCTCCAGACTGGGCTGCCTTCTCCTCAGGGCTGCACAAAACATCTATCAAGATGTGGGAAGAAAATATTAAGATTTCTGCTTACAACTCTTTTCATCAAAAATCAGAAAGAGAGATCAAGCCCTGTTAATAATTAGAATCCAGACTGACCCTGGAAGCCTTTCGTGTCCATATGGCACACAGTTGCGAGTTCCACTCAGTCACTCTGGTATCAGATAAAAAGAGGGCATTCCACTGCACAGATGAGTTGGTGACATTGCTCTCAAGTTACAAAATATGATGGCTTGTGACTGGGCAGTTATGCACATATGTAAATTGTGCTCTATCTTTAACTATACTAGCCCTCATAAAATAGCTAGTGGCTTAAAAACAAATACTGTAGGGACATCTGGTGGTTCAGCAGTTGAGCATCTGCCTTTGGCTCAGGTCCTGATCCCAGGGACCTGGGATCGAGTCCTGCATCAGGCTCCCCTCAAGGAGCCTGCTTCTCCCTTTGCCTGTGTCTCTCTACCTCTCTCTCTCTCTCTCCGTGTCTCTCATGAATAAATAAATTTTAAAAATCTTTAAAAAATACTTTAGAGCACTCATGAATTGAAAGTAATATTACTAACGAAAGTATAGCAAACAGGTGGAAATGACAACCACACTGAGCTTCTGGACAAGCCTGTTCACACACACACACACACACACACTGAGGTAGGATGATGAGCAGATCAGATTCAAAAATAAGTAGGCCGAGAAATTCGAACTTACTTAAAGAACTATCTGATATATGGATTTGTAACCATAATTATTCATAATACACCTTACCCTAATTACATTCTGAGCCTTCAAGTATTGACTAAGTCTTGTATGAAATCGTCACCATTAGCAGGATCTTTCAAGGGGCACATCCAGAACTCAGGGAGGGCCCTGTGCAGTTGCTTAGGGAGTTTACAAGACGAGTGTGGAAACCATGACTCACTCAGCAGGCCTAAGACCCTCTAGGTCTGTGTGTTTTGGGGACATGTTTGGGGAGTCTTCTTGTGTAGCCATGCTCACCGCCAAAGTCTAATATTTAATTAGACTAAATTAAAACCAGAACATTGAATTACTGTATGCATATTTTTAGTAAGAGCAAAAAAGGTTATGTGTTCCTTTAATATAAAAAGTAATTAATTTTTAAAACATGGAATATTACATCCCTTATCTTTTAAAACATCTTTTTTCTATTCTTAACAATGCATATTGCATAGGAGTATGCAGTTGTACATGTATGTGTTTATCAACAGATATACATATATTGGCGTTGCTCAATGATGTTTTTACTGTAGGTATAAAATCATCGGTAGTTGGTAACCAGAGGTCTAGTGGAACAAGGACTCTCACAAATTTCTTCTAGATCTTCATTCCAGCACTTCATGATGTTGGTATGGATGAGGTGATGTGATGAGGACATAATCTTATGATCCCACATGCTTACAGTGGGCTTTGTAGCAGCCATGGCCATGAACAGGCTGGGGCATCATTTGGATGAAGGCAGTTAGAACACTCAGGGACATGGAGTGGGTTCTAAGCTCTGTAAAGCCCTATCAGCAGTAAGCCCTTGAGGTTGAAAGTCCCCAGTCTGCTGGGATCAGCCTGCAGAGACAGGCTAGGTGCCGTGCAAGCCAGGATTCTGCAGCTGCTGGAGGGGCACCTGCCAGGCATGGTCTGTGCTGCTCGAGTGCCAAGGATTTTCCCGCTATGAGTCCCACAGGAGCCGTGCTCAGAGTGAGATGTAGTTACTTTACCCAGCAAACACTCCATGGGGAAGTGACGATTGCAATCCAAGCCTAGCAGGTGAGGTGTGTGCCCCACGTGAAAGAAAATGGAGGATTCCCCATGTCATTGAAGAAAAGGAAGACAGCACTGGGGGAGGCTGGCCCATTGTGGGGTGTCAGGATGTGCTCCAAAGGTCCTTGGGAGTAGACATTAGAGCCAGGGGTTGCAAAGCAAGGAAGGTGCCCTTCCTCAGACTGAATTTGATTATGAGCATCCAGGTTCTAGCAGTTTCTCCAGTTAATGAGACATGTCCTGACATCCCAGATCATCACTCCCCATTCTGGTCAGTAGTAGATACTCCCTCTTGATTCACTGTGAGATGCTGCGTTGGAACCATGTGGATGCAGAACTGAGAATATTGCACAAGATTTTTAAAAATATTTTTAATTTATTTATTCATGAAACTCACAGAAAGTGAGGCAGAGACACAGGCAGAGAGAGAGAGGCAGGCTCCCTGTGGGGATCCTGATGTGGGAGTTGATCCCCTGAGCCACCCAGGCACCCCTTGCACAAGCTTCTGCCCTGATCTGGGATGGCTTACTTCTAGCACATTTATGCTTATGGATGTTTTTTGTTGTTGTTGTTGTTGTTTTTAATCCCAGAATGCATATTGCCTTTTGGTGACGTTTGCCTTGTGCAAACAGTCAACTTGCATTTATCCCACATCTATATTGACTGAAGCAGATTCTCAAAGGAAAAGCATCTCCTGAAACCAGTCAACGAGCATTGTGAATTGACAACTGGTGTTGGGCAGCAAGACTCATCCTGACGAAAGAGCAGGGGAGGCGAGGTGCTGTGGAGCCTGGCTTGGGGGTCAGACCTGAATGTGAAGCCAGTCTCTGCCACTTGCAGGCTCTGAGAGCGTGAACATGTCCCTTTAAAACACTCTGGGCCACCATTTGGTCACTTGTAAAACGGTGATGACACAGTCTCAGGGGGTAATCAGAAGTCTTATGGTATCAATTGCATTAATTGGTATAGGCGGAGCAGCTAGCATGGTGCCTGGTATCCAGTAGACGCTATCTCAATTGTCGTTTCTATTGCTAATGATGTGACCACCTTGCTTTCCTGTTTACAACCCTCCCACTTGCTTGTGTTCTCACTCGGCTTAGTGTTCACGGCATGAATGGTTTGACCTTAAACTTCTCTGCTTTGCCTGTGCTCAGATCATTCCTGATCCCTCCTCCCCCTTTGTGATATCTACTTTGAAAACTCTACCCTATTAAGTTCTAGCTTAAATATAATCT